TAAAAATATTTAATTTACTACTTAAATGTAATATAGGCAATCTTAATCATTTTAAACTACTGGCATTTCCTATCAAAATAATGGCCTTAATGTCTCAGTATCTCCTCTGCACCCACTACATATACTGTCTGTGAACACATAATCAAATGAGAACTGAAAACTTAATTAAAACCGATCTGTTTTTGTACTTGTGAAAGAGAAGAATAAAAATAAAAACTAAGACAAAAATCCAGGCCAGGCATGGTGGCTATAATCCTAGTGCTCTGGGAGGCCAAGGCAGGAGGATTGCTTGAGGCCAGGAGTTGAGAAAAGACAAAAATCCAGGACTGAAAATGCACATCTGAAGGAAGGAGGCGATCCCTGGGAAGGCTGCATCAATCTGGGGGTGCTGACCTGGCCCAGGGAACCGCCCTGGTGTCCACTGAGGTGGGAGCATAAACAGTGAGAAAGATAATAAGTATAAAGATGAATAAGTGGCCTGGGCAATATTCAGTTTTGTGTGCGGAGGAGGGGCAGTGGAACGCAGGTAACAAACCCTAACAGCAATGTCAAATCGGTTAAATAATAGCAGGGAAAAAAATGCATGGGCTGTGGAGAAACAGAGTCATAACTCCCTCTGCAGGAAGAAGCATACTTTTCACATGGTTTTTCCCCCACCCTAGGTGAAACTATCACAAAAGTATGGGAAACTGGAATCCTTTCAGTAAGACTATTGAAGGATCGGATCTCTCTCCTGTGCATGCTCAATCTCTCTCTCTCTCTCTCTCTCTCTCTCTTTTTTTTTTTACCTTGGTCTCCTCTAATTGTCTTTGCAGATTTTTGGGGTCCACAGCAATTGGTTCAGATAAATGTTTGCTCGCTGTGGCCTCACAGGCTTGGAGTCCGGAAATAAGTCCACACGAAGCATCTTCATAGTGTTGATATTTATCCACCAGATCTTTAAGATTATTTCCAAGAACATTGCACTAAAAATCAAAAGAGAAAAGGGGTGGGAGATTAAAACTCATTATTTTCATTTGCATCAAATAACTTTAGGACTTATGAACTATGTAACTTGGAAAAAACTAGACTTCAACCAAAGTTAAGGAAAACTCTGTAAGGCTAGGATTTTCTCCTTTATATGGAAGAAGCATCCTCCAAGAAGCCAAAAAGTAACCATAAAAATGAAGAGATAGTTCTAGAATTTACCAGCTCAAAAACATATTTATGAGGGCTGAGTCTTAACCCAGAATGAATGATAAAGATATCAATCATCAGAGGAGGCAGATCTACCAGGGCACATTCCCAGTGGGTTTTATACACCATGTGTACAGATATGCATTTGATGGAAAGGTTTTCAAGGTGCTTAATAAATTGTTTCTACATGTTGCACAGGATTAACACAAGGAAGGCAAATAGTCTATTTGAATGAATTAATGCCCAAGAGCCAATGATGGTCTTCAAATCATTTATGCTACCTGGTAAGTCTGTTCAGTTTATATTGCAAACAGGGAAATATATTCTTAGATTTTCTTTTGAAACAAAACTCTTTTACTTGTCCACAGAAGCAGATGAATCTAAACAGTCTGCTAGTCATTAAATATTAAAATAACATACTGATCAAATATCTGTAAGACAAATACTTGCAGTAGTTGTGAAGAGAATAATCTGAGATGAAACTTCTGTCCCCAAGCTTGAGAGGCTGAGAACTAGGGATACTCTCTTTGCTTAGTCGATACATAAACGCCATCTGGTGGTCATATTGGATATTAGAACTTTTTAGAGTAAGGGCTGCCTGGAAATCACTCTCTCAAAACTAACTTTAAGCTCCTAATCTTAAAGCACATTTCTAAGAGGCAGAGAGGATGAATAAGACTGAGGGAAGTGTGATAAAACTACCTTTTCTCTCTGCTTTGGTTTTTAGATTTCTTGCATCTAATTCCAAAACCAAAGTTAAGAGGACAGAGTGAAAACTATAATCACAGGTTTACCTTTCCTTTCAAAAACAAAAATAAAATTACCTTAGAGTAGAGAGACCTGAACCGATCGGTAGCATGATCCAGTTTGCTCTGAACTTCTCTGTGGGTTGCTGAAGTGTCAATGTTAGCCTTGTCAACCCTGCTGCCATCTCTTCTGCTGCAAGATTTGGCAGCTTCTAACACTCTGTTTCCAGAAATTGTGATGTACCTCAAGTCACCTTTGTGAGAAATAACATCTTCTGAGAAACTCTTCTGCCTCTTCAATTTAGTCATTAAACCACTGAAGTCATCTGCACCTGCCTCCAGGTTTTCAAGTTCTTGTTCTGACTGCTGTAGCCAGTGCTCAAACTCGGCATAATCCGCATCGAACTTTTCTAATTCTTCCTGCAGAGAGTGCGTTAACTTCATTTTCTTCTCTGACTCAGCCAGTGCAGTTTCGTAATGGGCTTTCAGTTCTTTCATGTTCTTCTGCAGTTTCTCTTTTTCCTCAGGAGAGAGATAGTGACCCTGTTTCTCGAGCAAGGCTTGTGCAGACTGAGTGGCTATGATGACAGCTTGGTGCTGAGAGATGATCTTCTCATGTTGCGCCTGTGCAGAAACAAATTGACCATAACCTTCAAGCAGCGATAGGGTTACACTGTGCTTCAGGACTGACAGGATTCAATGATGTACAGGGCTACAACTTGCTTCTCACTCCCCTTCTCAAGCCGCACAATATTCCCCTTTTACGTGTGAATTTCGGCTGCATTTTGAGCACTCCAATCTTATTTTTAAGGAAGTTTCCAACCTTCTCTAGAAAGTATTTAGACAATCACATAGGACACGTACTGTTTTTGAGAAGTTTGGAAAAAATGTAATAAATTCCTAGTCCAATTCTAACACAAGCATCTATAATCTGATCTCATTTTACTCACTGCTTCCTTACAGCTACCCAAAAAGGACCGCTAATGTCTGTACCTAATTACAGAGCAAATAAGTACAAAATTTTTTACTAGGAAATGATCCTGGAAAAACATTTAAATAAGAAAAAGAATTTGTAATTTTAAAGCTATAAAAACATTTCAACAATAATTAAGCAAGGACACTGTACATTCAGAGAAGCTCAGTGAAAGTTAAAGGAACAGAGAAGAGAGAATACTAGCGAGAGCTATTAGCTTCACTACGCCTTAGTTTCCTGCATGGAAAATGGAGACGATAAGGTTTGCCATAAGGAGTATACGAGATCACACATGCAGAGTACTTCCCGCAGAGCCCGGCACGTGCCAGAGACTCAAACCCACTCTGAAGGCAGGAAGGCCACGCTCTTGGGCAGGTCACAGGTACGAGCTACTGGTCCCCTCAGCCTCTAGGGCAGCAGGTGGGCCTCAGGTCGCTAGAGTCCCTTTACCTCCAGCCATAAGCATCTTTTCCCATTCACTCCAATATGCCACACGAATGAGGCAAAAAGGAAAATAATCCTTTTGGGCAATTTTCTGTGTTTTTTATAATGGCTTACATGGAGCCAAATAACTTGATCTTGTTACCTCCTAGTTCTTTCTACTACCTCCAACCTCTTTGCTGCTCCCACCTGTACCCGCTCCCCACCTTGGTAGACTTTAGGACCTTTTCTCTGTTGTTCTTTGTCTAGTAACAGGTCTTTCACCAGTCAACTCCTTTAAGTCCTATTTAAACATGGAAAACTGGTCCCTAACCCCACACTGAACCATCCTTACCTAACTCCTTAACCGTTCTCCCTTAGCACTCACCACCTTCTAACACACCATCTAACTTAGTTATCATTGCTGTAACGGCCTCACCCCCGCTAGCATGCAAGTACCAGGACAGGGAACTTATTTTGCTTACTGGGGAGTCCCAAGTACCTAGAACAGTGCTGGCGCATGGGGGCTGAGTACAAAGGACTACATGCTGTGAAGTGAAAAGGACTTAGAAGCACTGCTACAGGGCAACCATCCACTGATCCCAATTAGTCAGCTGATAACAGGCTCATCAACACTGGTACCCTCATCATCTGTAGCAATGCCTGCCACATGTGGGCACATGATAGATATTTTTGACTAAATAACATTTCTCCTGCAGCCGTCTTTGGTATTTGAATTATATTCATAGGTTACCCTCCAGAAGAGCTACGCACATAATAGCATGGATAGATATATAGAACACCTTATAAATTATCAAATCCATCCCCTTCCTTTTACAGTGGAGGAATCTCAGCTTAAGGAGGAGAATGGCTTGGCTGAGGACATGTGGCGCAAGAACTGAGAGCTAGAAATCTCGGTTCAGGCCCTTTGGCCATCTCTCTGCTCCACCAGGAGATTAGGACTCCCTAAAACACATTCAGATTCCTACATTCTTAGAGGTAAAAAGATCAGAAGGGAACTATCATACTGTCGCTAAAAACAAGGGCTTTCCTGTGTGACACCATTATTGTTTAGGTCTACCCACTGGTATTTTTCACTACTTTGGGCAAGTTACTAAACTTTCCTGACTTCTTTGTAACTGACTCATAAAGTTCCTTTAGGAATTCATTAGATTTTTTTCATTTTAAGAGATCTTATTTTTCATAGTAAGGTCCTCTAGTAGTCCCTTAATATTGTGACACAGTAAATATTCCCACCCTTCTTCTGGCATAATTTATATTTTCTATGAGAACCTCACAGACACCATCCTATTCCAAAATTCCAAAGACAAAGAGTGAGAGGAAAATAAACTGAACTGCAAAAATTTCTAAAGTCCAGTCATCCAACTACCAAAAGCCAAACATGGAAATACAATTATCAGTTATATGACACTTGAGAAATGGTTCTACAAAAGTTGCCCTTGTTCCTAGAGTACCATTAATGTTAGCTTTAATTTCCATCGTGCAGTGAACTTTTATCTCACAGCCCCACTCAAATTTTAAGAAAAAGTTAAGCAAAGCCAACTCGTCAAACCTTGTGTAATATTTGGTCAGTTACATATCTAGAAACCCAGAATTCTAGCCCTTGGTGCTAATCATTGCTTACTACCACCTGATATCACTTAATGAATCAAGTAGCAGTTGAGCCAATCATTGTTGACATAGCAATAGTGTGTCACATATTTGAAGGGCTTTTATACCTATTCTTAAAAATAGCCTTCCCCATATAGATGAGCTGAGCTCAGAAAGAACTGAAATGAGCTCAGGATTGCAGAGCAAGCCAGTCTATGAACATGGATTAGCATTTAGCAGAGCCACTGAGCACGTGGCCCCGTTTTAAATCCCAACTCCATCCCTTACTAGATGTGTAACTTAGGAAAGCTCCTTTAGCACTGTAAGTTACAGTTTCTCCATCTGTAAAACGAAAATAAAAACCTCAAAGAGTAACTGGGACGGCTGAATGTGCTGAGATGGAAACTGCTTGGAAGAGTGCCTGGCCCACTGCAATTGCTCTATAAATATTAACTATTATTATTTCTAAAATTAATTCCTTATAATTCTGTTTCACTTACATGGAGAATGCCATATCTAATGGTTTATTTTTCATTATTTTTTTACTTTCTTAGAACTCTCACTATAATTTATATTTGACATAATGATGAACCTAGAAAAAAAAGGACTTTGCTGTCTGG